GTCGAGTGGGTTCGGGCAGATGCATTTGGTTGTGGTGTTGTTCGGCGTTGGAAGAAATGGTTGGAAAGGCGTTGAAATCGTAACTCCTTCAAAGCTCTAGTTGAAGTTCTGCTGCTAGAGGTTCAATTCCAGCTTCAGTCAGAACGTGCTGGTGTTGTCAACTCGATTTTGATGCTAAGAAATGGACTCGATACTGATTTCCGATACCGCAGAGACGATAAAAACACTTTATTCCGACAATAGAGCGTGATTTTCAACATTAAATCGCAGTATTTTCTCTTATTTCCGTCTTGTATCTGTGTAATCTATCATTTTTGTCTTGTGAATGTGACTTTTTCAGTATCGATACCTGCGAAAAATGAGGATCTAGGTTCAATACTACTTTTAGAATCGATTTAGTGTCGGATTTCTGATACTTTTGACAACTTTGGTACATACTGTTCCAGGTTTTTCACTTCCAATGCTTTGTCTTTAAGTAAATTTCAGTGTCCGATTGAAAATGGCATTTATTTCTCTCAAAATACCGTTAACTTTATTACAAAATCGGTCTGATTGTGCGAGTAACTGAACAGATTTTTGTGAACAGAACGTACATTGTGTAACTTTCCTGGTGGAGGGACCGTCAGATGATTTTCTTTCTCCATGCAGATGTCGTTGCTTGGTCTGGAATGTTTCACTTTCTATCTTCATGGAGACCAAACCAGACCGAGTCACAGGTCAGGTCTGTGGAGAGGCGACACCGCTCACAGTCAGAATAGAACGCCTGTTTTTTGTAGGTATTTTTGAGTTATAAAACCACCTGTAATTGAATAAATGTAAAGTCGAGCTGTTTAATGTCACACTGTGGAACATTCCAGGCAGAGCAATGACGTATCCATAGAAACAAGCAGGTGACGGACTCCCAACCAAAAAGTTTAAAACTTAAATTGTTGTTGTGAGATGTCTTGGGCCTACATCAGTCAGTAAAGAGTCTGAACAGGATCGACTGAAACGATATCGTGAAGCCGATACCCCAAATTTTAATGGATCTGCACCGATATTCCAGACCAGTATCGGTATCGGTGCATCCAAAGTCTGAACGTGGTGTTTGGCTGACAGGGCGTCCGGCTTTTTTCACAAAGTTTTTCCTAGATATTGTAGGATTCTTTTCTATTTTCACAACGTTAAACTTTTAAAAATGTTTAAATCCTCCAAGGGCCTAAAAGTGATCTTTGTCAGACTGAGCCTCGCCGTTCTGAGCCGCGTTCTCTCCGCTCTAGCAGCTCTCGCTCCGATTGGTCCAAACGCTCCACGCCGTGCTCGTTACAGACGCCGCGCGGGTGGGAGGAGCTCGCCCGGATTGAGGAAGTAAACGCGGAAGAGTGAATTGTTGTTGGGCGCCGATGAGCCGAAGAGCACAAACCACTGAAAACAACACGGCACTATCTTGGGTTCAGCTTCAGATTTTATTATAGTTCTGGGCTCTGACCGTGGAATTAAATGAAAAATGCATAAAACTGTCCTGAAAAAACACCGTAATGGACTGAAACATTTGTACTGGGTCTGGGCCGCTTCAGCTTCAGCTTCAGTCACGTCCAGTGTTGGGAAGGTGACTTTTAAAACACATTCCCCTACAGATTACAGATTACAGACCACAGAATGTAGTTTGTAACGTAATCCATTAAATTACTTAAAGTGAGTAATGTAATCTGAATACTTTGGATTACTTGATTTGCTGTAGAGAAGCAAAGACTCGGATATCTGCATATAAGAAGTTTTGTTTGCTAAAAGAAAATAAAAAGCCCAGACTTTACTGAACCAAATGAAAAATATTACTGATAGAAGATGAGGAAACACGTCCACGCAGCAGGGTTTAGTCCTGGTTTAGTCCTGGTTTAGTCCTGGTTTAGTCCTGGTTTAGTCCTGGTTTAGTCCTGGTTTAGTCCTGGTTTAGATCTGGTTTAGTCCTGGTTTAGTCCTGGTTTAGTCCTGGTTTAGATCTGGTTTAGTCCTGGTTTAGATCTGGTTTAGTCCTGGTTTAGTCCTTGTTTAGTCTGGTTTAGTCCTGGTTTAGATCTGGTTTAGTCCTGGTTTAGATCTGGTTTAGTCCTGGTTTAGATCTGGTTTAGTCCTGGTTTAGTCCTGGTTTAGTCCTGGTTTAGATCTGGTTTAGTCCTGGTTTAGTCCTGGTTTAGTCTGTTTAGTCCTGGTTTAGTCCTGGTTTAGTCCTGGTTTAGTCCTTGTTTAGATCTGGTTTAGTCCTGGTTTAGTCCTGGTTTAGATCTGGTTTAGTCCTTGTTTAGTCCTGGTTTAGTCCTTGTTTAGATCTGGTTTAGTCCTGGTTTAGATCTGGTTAGTCCTGGTTTAGTCCTGTTTTAGTCCTTGTTTAGATCTGGTTTAGTCCTGGTTTAGTCCTGGTTTAGATCTGGTTTAGTCCTTGTTTAGATCTGGTTTAGTCTGTTTAGTCTGTTTAGTCCTGTTTAGTTGTTTTAGTCCTGTTTAGTCTGGTTTAGTCCTGGTTTAGATCTGGTTTAGTCCTGGTTTAGATCTGGTTTAGTCCTGGTTTAGATCCTGGTTTAGTCCTGGTTTAGTCTGGTTTAGATCTGGTTTAGTCCTGGTTTAGATCTGGTTTAGATCTGGTTTAGTCCTGGTTTAGTCCTGGTTTAGATCTGGTTAGTCCTGGTTTAGTCCTGTTTTAGTCCTGGTTTAGATCTGGTTTAGTCCGGGTTTAGACCTGGTTTAGCTCTAGTTTAGTCCTGGTTTAGATCTGGTTAGTCCTGGTTTAGATCTGGTTTAGTCCTGGTTTAGTCCTGGTTTAGTCCGGGTTTAGACCTGGTTTAGCTCTAGTTTAGACCTGGTTTAGTATCCGGCATGAGTGGAATTACTGAGAAAAGACAAAAAAAAAAAAAAAACAGGGGATAAAGCCCAAAATGTGAAAACAGGAAAATACTGCCCTGTAATCCATTTATTTCAACAAAGTAACTGTAATCCAATTCCCACTCACTGAAACAGTAACTGTAACTGAATACAGTTACTCATCATTTGTACTCTGATTACTTAACTCCGGTACATGTAATCTGTTACTCCCCAACACTGGTCACGTCTAATGTCAGTTTTCGAATCCAGCAAAAGTTTGGATCAATTTGGCCTCGATTTTCACGAGAATGACCATTTCGACTTATCGTTCAGTATAAGTTAGATGGAATTATTTTTTTTATGGTCAGTTTTTATTGTTTACAGTATATTTCTTTACACTTCTTTGGAAATTTGTGGTTCTTTTTTGACTATATGATGAAATTTGAGCTGTAAAATTTAAATTAATGACTTTTATGAGTCATTTCAGATGCAAACTCGATACTGAAGAGTTTTGTTTTGCTGCTTATTTACAGCAGCTCATGTTTTTTAAATAATATTGTAGATTTAGAGCAGTTTTTGTGGTTTTTGGGTTTTTGTGTCAGTGCATTTTAGTTTCAATATCCTCATTTATCGTCTGTATTTATTCGTTTATCAAAATTTGTTATCGAGACAGGCAAAGGTTTGGAGCCCTAAAGGTGCATTGTGTAACTTTTCTGCTGGAGGGTCCTGCTTGTTTCTATGGTTACGTCATTGCTCTGCCTGGAATGTTCCTCAGTGTGACATTAAACAGCTCTACTTTACTTTTACATTTATTCAATTACAAGTGGTTTTAGAGCTCAAAAATACCAATAAAAACAGACATTTTGACTGTGAGCGGGGTCGCCCCTCCACAGATCTGACCTGTAACTTGGTTCGGTTTGATAGAAAGGTTTAATGTGCAAAAACATATTGTGGAACATTCCAGACAAAGCAATAACATCTCCACGAAGAAAAGCGTTTGATGGAGCCTTCACCAGAAAAGTTATACAATGCTCCTTTTTGAAACAACAACAAAGGCCGATTATTTTTAGTTTTGGTCGATCCACTTCCTAAAAAACGCACTCAAAGTTTCATTTTAACACTTTAATACGAAGACATAACCACACAAAATGTGACCACACTGCCGCTTTATAGGTTTGAGGTGTTAAAAAACAAAAAAAGCAGCTGTATGTGAGTTTGTTGTAAATTTAGAATACTTTTTTTTTTTTTTCACCCACCATTAACAGACGCTGAAAAAAAATTAAATAAATAAATAAAATTTAGAAAAAAAATACTACTAATAATAATAAACATTTTTAAAATAAATAAGTAAAACAGTAATAATAAAATAAAAATACAATAGTAATAGTAATATTCACCAGAAAATAATAATAAAAATAAAGTAAAAATAAATACATTTGAATATATTTCATTTACAGTACATAATTTGGGGAAACTAATTAAAATATCAGTCCAAAAATATCAGCAGAGTGTATCGGCCATCGGTTGGACTGGATTCTAAACAATTGATATCGATATCGGTATCGGGCATGAAAAAAAAAAAAAGACAACAAAATAAAACATATCGATCGATCTGTAGTTTGCATTTTCTGTGCGTTGTGCCTTTCTGGACACTCAAGGTCATCTTACAACAACATAAACAAGTTAAATATTATTAAAACGTGCAGTTAAAAGCACACAGTATGGCTTTAAATCTTTCTATCCTCATGGAGACCAAACCAGGCCAAGTTACAGGTCAGATCTGTGGAGAGGCGACCCCGCTCACAGTCAGAATGTCTGTTTTTCTAGGTATTTTTGAGTTTTAAAACCACCCGTAAATTGAATAAATGTAAAGTTAGAGCTGTTTAATGTCACACTGTGGAACATTCCAGAGTAATGACGTATCCATAGAAACAAGCAGGTGAGGGTCCCACTACAGAAAAATTACACGGCGCAGCTTTACGTGGGAGCCCGTATCGTTTATGTTCATGAACTCAATACTGAAAGTGATTTTTTTATTTTGTTTTGAACACAAAATAAAAAGCTGTTTGTTGTTCGCTGGAATGTTGTGTCTAACAGTTTGTGCGTTTGTGTGTGTGTGTGTGTGTGTGTGTGTGTGTGTGTGTGTGTGTTGTGTGTTTGTGCAGATCAGCAGAGTCTAGGTGGAGGAGAGCAGCTTTAGAAGAGGAAAATGAGTGAACTGGACCAGCTGCGCCAGGAGGCCGAGCAGCTCAAGAACCAGATCCGAGTGAGTCCCCGTCCACCGTCCACCTGATACACACACACACACAACACAACACACAAAAAACACACACAAAACACACATATAACATGCATATAAACACATATATAAACACACAAACATACACATGTAAAATACACACAAACACACTTATAAACACACAAATATACACCAACAAACACACAAACATACACACACACACACACACGCATATAAACACAAATATACACTCACACAACACACGTATACACACACAAACATACACACGTAACATACACATGCATATAAACACACAAATATACACACACATATGACACACAAACATACATAACACACATATAACATGCATAAAAACACACAAATATACACACACGACACACTAACACACAAACATAAACACATATAAACACACAAATATACACAAACACACAAATATACACAAACACACAAATATATACACACACACAAATACACACACACATGCATATAAACACACAAATATATGCACATACGACACAGAAATATAAACACACACGTAACATACACATATAACATACGTATACACACAAATATACACACGTAACATACACATGCATATAAACACACACACGACACACACACATATAAACACACACACACAAATACACACACACATGCATATAAACACACAAACACACATATAAACACACAAATATACACAGACAAATATACACACAAATATACACACGTAACATACACATGCATATAAACACACGACACACAAATATACACACACACATATGACACACAAACGTACATATAAACACACATATATAAAACACAAACATACACATGTAACATACACACAAACACACATATAAACACACAAATATACACAGACACATATACACACAAATATACACACGTAACATACACATGCATATAAACACACGACACACACAAATATACACACACACATATGACACACAAACGTACATATAAACACACATATATAAACACACAAACATACACATGTAACATACACACAAACACACTTATAAACACACAAATATACATATAACACACATATAACACACGTATACACACACAAATATACACTCACAACATACACACACACATATAAACATACACACGTAACATAGACACAAACGCACAAACACACAAATATTCACACAAATATATACACTAACACACATATAAACACACAAATATACACACACACAAACACATAAATATATATATATACACAAACGTAAACAGACACTTTGAATGTAAACCACAGTTGCAGTTTCTGTTAATTAATTTACCGTATTTTTTGGACTATAAGTCGCTCTGGAGTCTAAGTCGCATCAAAAAATGTGTAATGAAGAAGAAAAAAATCATGTAAGTGGCACCGGACTATAAGTCACACTTTTTGAGAGAAAGTTATGTTTTAAAATCAGAGACTAAGAACACACATTTAATAACAATTATTAACAATAGAAGAGAGAACAACAGACTGTTAACGTCTCATATGAACTGTTGTTTTGTTCTGTTGTTTATGCTGTTGTTATCTGAACAAGTTTACCAAACTCTCCATCTCACTCCAAATCACTAAATCCATTCAATTCTTCATCCTCGGTGTCCGCCAATTAGTTAAATCTCGCTTTTAGTCCGGGATTTGCTTTTTGTGTTTTCTTCGTTGCCGTTCGAGTCTCTTCCGCTTTTCTCCGGTCCCTCACAAGTTTCTCTCTCACTCCAAACTTTCTTTCTGCTGCTCGATTACTGTTTTCAGCTAATTATTTCACGACTTGCAGCAGGATAGAGGCTCTTTCTGCAGGAGACATGCGCAGTGACAGTGCTACAGGAGCATAGAACTTATCACACAGATGTTATTATAGCTCCATGTACAGGAGTAACAGTGTGATATCAGCAGCAGATCCTGGCACACAAGACTAGAGCCTCTCACGGCTGTCAGTGTGAAAATAACACGTGAAATTATATACTTGCACTTGAGTATTAAAGGTTGTATGGAGGATTTTTTTTTGTTTCAAACTGTCAGTGAAAGATTAAAATACCATTACAGAGACGCAGCAGCTTTGTAATTATGATGACCAAAAAAAAAAGAACGAAAATCTATCAACTGTGGACGTGTTGAGGCCAGATAAACATCAGCCAATAGAAAACGAGGCTCCCTCATTTTCTATTGGCTGTTAGGTTGTCAATCAAACTCCCTAGTATAACTGACTCGTCGGAGCGCGGGGATTACGTGGTTTACGCAGCGGTTCTTAGAGGCTTTTTTGAACTGTCGCTTCCTCGCATTTCACACGAAGTTTGTTGCGACGGCGGACGAGAATCCACGACCGGTTCGCCGCAAAAGAAAGTCCGTTTTTGAGGTCGCTGAAAGAAGAAAAGTGGAAAAGTAGCAAAGCCAAACTGAGGTGATTCTTGGAGATCTCGTCCAGCGATGGCGCAACCGAAGCAGACGAAGGGTCAAAAAACTGACGCGTCGGTCGCTGAATTACTTCTAGACAGGAAACTTCAACAGTAATTCTGAATGCGCACAAGGACTGTCGCTGTATTTCTCTTCCCTTGAAAAAATCCTCTATACAACCTTTAAGTCACAGGAAACACCCAAACCATGAAAAAAGTGCGACTTATATTCCGAAAAATACGGTAGTAGAAAATAACGTTTACTGTCCCGTCACTTGAGCTCAGACCAGAGTCGGCGTAAAGAAAACCTGATGCTAACGCCGATTAAAATGGTGAAATAAAAACCCCAGGATCAGGCAGAGTGGGTTAATAAAAACATTTTAAGACCAAAAAGACCGAACAAGTGATGGTTTTTCAACAGAAAGTGAACTGGAGCCAGAGACGAGCCAGATTGCGCCCGTGCTCACTTCCTGTTTGTAACGCAACAGCCAGCGGGTTGGATATGTTCATACAGTCTGATTCATTGTTCCGCTGGTTTTGACAGACGTGTGTTCTAGTCCCTCTTCATGTTCTAGTCCCTCTTCATGTTCTAGTCCCTCTTCATGTTCTAGTCCCTCTTCATGTTCTAGTCCCTCTTCATGTTCTAGTCCCTCTTGGTTTCACTGTCGGACGCTCGGGTTGATGTTTGTCTTTAGTCCAGGTTCTGTTCTAACTCTGCTCTGTGTTTCAGGATGCCAGGAAAGCGTGTGCAGATGCCACTCTGTCTCAAGTAAGAAACACACACACACACACACACACACCCTGTCTCTCTCTCTGACCCTGTCTCTCTCTCTCTGACCCGTCTCTCTCTCTGACCCCGTCTCTCTCTCTGACCCCGTCTCTCTCTCTCTCTGACCCTGTCTCTCTCTCTCTCTGACCCCTGTCTCTCTCTCTCTGACCCCGTCTCTCTCTCTCTCTCTGACCCCGTCTCTCTCTCTCTGACCCCTCTCTCTCTCTCTCTCTCTCTGACCCCGTCTCTCTCTCTCTGACCCCGTCTCTCTCTCTCTCTGACCCCGTCTCTCTCTCTCTGACCCCCGTGTCTCTCTCTCTCTCTCTGACCCTCTCTGTCTCTCTCTCTCTCTGACCCTGTCTCTCTCTCTCTCTGACCCGTCTCTCTCTCTCTCTCTGACCCCGTCTCTCTCTCTCTCTCTCTCTCTCTCTGACCCCGTCTCTCTCTCTCTCTGACCCCGTCTCTCTCTCTCTCTCTCTGACCCTGTCTCTCTCTCTCTCTCTCTCTCTGACCCCTGTCTCTCTCTCTCTCTGACCCCGTCTCTCTCTCTCTCTCTGACCCCTGTCTCTCTCTCTCTGACCCCTGTCTCTCTCTCTCTCTCTCTCTCGACCCTGTCTCTCTCTCTCTCTGACCCCTCTCTCTCTCTCTGACCCCGTCTCTCTCTCTCTGACCCTGTCTCTCTCTCTCTCTCTCTGACCCTGTCTCTCTCTCTGACCCTGTCTCTCTCTCTGACTCTCTGTCTCTCTCTCTGACCCGTGTCTCTCTCTCTGACCCTGTCTCTCTCTCTCTGACCCTGTCTCTCTCTCTCTCTGACCCTGTCTCTCTCTCTGACCCTGTTCTCTCTCTCTCTCTGACCCGTGTCTCTCTCTCTCTGACCCTGTCTCTCTCTCTGACTCTCTCTCTCTCTCTCTGACCCTGTCTCTCTCTCTCTGACCCTGTCCTCTCTCTCTCTCTGACCCTGTCTCTCTCTCTCTCTGACCCTGTCTCTCTCTCTCTCTCTGACCCTCTGTCTCTCTCTCTCTCTCTCTGACCCTGTCTCTCTCTCTCTGACCCGTGTCTCTCTCTCTGACCCGTGTCTCTCTCTCTGACCCGTGTCTCTCTCTCTGACCCCGTGTCTCTCTCTCTGACCCTTCTCTCTCTCTCTCTGACCCTGTCTCTCTCTCTGACCCTCTCTCTCTCTCTGACCCCTGTCTCTCTCTCTCTGACCCCTGTCTCTCTCTCTCTCTGACCCTCTCTCTCTCTCTCTCTGACCCTGTCTCTCTCTCTCTCTCTGACCCTGTCTCTCTCTCTCTCTGACCCCGTCTCTCTCTCTCTGACCCCTGTCTCTCTCTGACCCTGTCTCTCTCTCTCTCTCTCTGACCCTGTCTCTCTCTCTCTCTCTCTCTGACCCCTGTCTCTCTCTCTCTCTCTCTGACCCTGTCTCTCTCTCTCTGACCCTGTCTCTCTCTCTCTCTCTAACCCCGTCTCTCTCTCTCTGACCCTGTCTCTCTCTCTCTCTCTGACCCTGTCTCTCTCTCTCTGACCCCGTCTCTCTCTCTGATCCCCGTCTCTCTCTCTCTGACCCCGTGTCTCTCTCTCTGACCCCGTCTCTCTCTCTCTCTGACCCCTGTCTCTCTCTCTGACCCGTGTCTCTCTCTCTGACCCGTGTCTCTCTCTGACCCGTGTCTCTCTCTCTCTCTAACCCCGTCTCTCTCTCTCTCTGACCCCTGTCTCTCTCTCTCTCTCTGACCCCTGTCTCTCTCTCTCTCTCTGACCCCTGTCTCTCTCTCTCTCTCTCTGACCCCTGTCTCTCTCTCTCTCTCTGACCCTGTCTCTCTCTCTCTCTCTCTCTCTCTCTCTGACCCTGTCTCTCTCTCTCTCTCTCTGACCCCTGTCTCTCTCTCTCTCTCTCTCTCTGACCCCTGTCTCTCTCTCTCTCTCTGACCCCTGTCTCTCTCTCTCTCTCTGACCCCTGTCTCTCTCTCTCTCTCTGACCCTGTCTCTCTCTCTCTCTCTGACCCCTGTCTCTCTCTCTGACCCTGTCTCTCTCTCTCTCTGACCCTGTCTCTCTCTCTCTGACCCCTGTCTCTCTCTCTCTCTGACCCCTGTCTCTCTCTCTCTGACCCCTGTCTCTTTCTCTCTGACCTCAGATCACGGCCAACATCGACCCCGTGGGCCGGATCCAGATGCGCACCAGACGGACGTTGAGGGGCCACCTGGCCAAGATCTACGCCATGCACTGGGGCACAGACTCCAGGTACACGGTTTTGATAATCACCTCACCTCAGGAGAGTTAGAGAAGAGTTCTCCTCAGACAACAGGCCGCTCCAGGTCACTTCAAACGAGACTTTGAGCGTTTACAGTGTTTACAAGTGTCCAGAGCTGTAGTGGGGTTCATGCAGATTCTGTTGCAGAGATTTTCAAACATTCTTAAAATCCAAAAGGTGAAAGTGTAATTCAGACTTCAGGTTTTCCTCCTGGTTCTTGGATGTGACATTAATCCATAAGAACAGGTGCAGTGTTTAAAACCTCCTGTGTTTAAAGTCGGTCTCTGTGATCGTGTGAATCTGCGCCGACTCTTCTGCACTTTCAGCCTCATTCACTAGAACTGCCTTTGGCTCATTTTAACCTGTAACTTTTTTTTTTAATACTTTTTATTTATTCAGTTTTTCAAGTTTTGAGAAACAAACAAATAAATATAAAAACATAAAAACAAAAACCTGGGGCACTGTTCCGTTGTTGTAAGTCTCAAGTCTCTTTGTTTATATTTCAACCCTTTTGTCCAGTGTTTAATGAAGAAATGTCCTTGGAGACGTAGAAAAAAAGTCATTTGTTCCATGGAATATATTTCTTCTATAATGTCGAGCCACTGGTTCACTGTCGGTGGGTCCTTTTTAAGCCAGCTTCCTGTTATTGCCTTTTTTGATGCTAAATGTATCTGTCCGCTTTTTCGGTCACCTCTCCAGGCAGAAGACCCAACAAAAATATCTTTGGGTCCTTGGGAACAACATAAGTCAAGATCGTATCTGTTTTTTCAAACACATTATCCCAGAATGATTTTAATTTTGTACATGTCCAAAAAATCTGAGAGTGATCGGCGTTTGACTGGCCGCACTGTCTCCAACATTGAGAATCTGACCCTTGTGCTTTGGCAGTAATTTGAGGTGTAATAAAGAATCGTATAAGACACTTCCACCCGAATTCCCTCCACCTTTTGGAGCTTGTTGTTGTTTGTTGTGTGCTGCACATCAAAAGCCAATCATCTTCTGATAAAACAATATGCGGCTCATCCTCCCATTTAGATTTAACAAAAAATGTATTGTTACCCTTTTGTATTTGCAATCCTTTATAAAGTTTAGAGACAGATTTGTTGGGCATTTAACCTGTAACATTTTACTGCTTCAAATGTCCGTGTGTCTAACGGTCCTACAGCCAGAATCCCCCCGTCCGTCTCCTCTGTGTCTGAGGTTTTGCCCGTTTGCCCCAGAGGTTGTGATGTTAAACTGAACAGTTTTATCAGTGTAATTGTCTTTCTAGCAGAAGTTCTGGTGTCAAACACGTGTGCAGACTGAGCAGGTGTTAAAAGTCTCCAGCTCCTCCTGCTCTGCTCACAGGAGAATACAAACTGTTCATGTTCAACAGAGGCTGTTCTTTTTCTGTTGACACTTCTAAACATGGACACTTTTCTCCACCTGCACCTGCCTGTGCCGAGTTTATAGAGCGACCTCGTCTCTGTCAGGTGCCGGCAGGGGGCGCTCCTGTGCGGTTCTCTGGGGGTTCCTCCCTCACAGCTCTGAGCTTTAAAAAACACACATGGTTCTTCTTCCACATTCCCCCGGAGGAGAGCGTGGCCTTGGTCTGATCTGACTCTGTTCTGTCCACAGGCTTTTGGTCAGTGCCTCTCAGGACGGCAAGCTCATCATCTGGGACAGCTACACCACAAACAAGGTACACACACACACACACACACACACACACAACACACACAATCACCCTTCAGCAGGAGCATTACTTTGAACTTCTTTAAATGAACAGTAAATAGTCGTGTAGCCGTGGGTCAGAGCCGTTACTGAACCATGGTCTTAGTATTTATCGTGTATCTTGTTAAACTTGTTCCCGGTCGTTCCCTCTATGATTTTATTCAAACCAGTTCGAGCCTCTACAGTTTAAACTCTGCTCTGACGCAAATACATGTCGTCCTTCGGAAAAATGCTGGATGGTTCTATATCGGTGACTTGCTCGTGGGGGTACCTGAAAGAATCTGAAAAAGTTTATCAGTATCAGAACATTTTGGGACGACACTACATGTTTCCAGCGCTTGTGTTTGTCTCAGTCCGTCCGTGCCCATAGAGCTTGGAGTCTGTAACAGGTCTGAACTTTACAAACATCTACAGAACACACAGGCACACAGGCGTAAGCAGTTTTCCTCTTTAAAGTCTTGGTACCAAGTCCAAATTTGTTGCCAGTTGGTGAAGTTTTTCCAAATGTTGCACTGAAGGCTGCACAGACTTGGGTGAGTGTGTGAGCAGATTCCAAAACGCAAACTGACTTCTCTTTGGGAGTGAACGGCTCAACCTGAAAACAGAACAAAAATAAAACATTAAATATAAAATCTTGATCTGTTTCTAAACATTCAGTGAATATTTGAGGTTATTTCAACAAGAACTGACAAAATTATTGGCCTGCAAAATGACACCTTGTATATCAAATCGAAAGTTCACTTTACGAGATGCATATCATATCGTTTCCTACGTATCGAGGTAAGTATCGTATCAGCAGCTTCTTAATGATGCCCAGCCCTAGTGACATTGCATCAAATGTTTTCAATTTCCATAAGAGCATAAACCAACCGAACATGCATCAGTTTAGCTTCAATAAACGCATCAAGAATCTCGGACTTTCGGTCATTGCGCAATTCACACTGGGAAGGATTTAGCAAAAAAGTGAGCGTCAAACCTCCATGTTTGTTTTCCCAGTGGGATGTGTCTATTGTCGAAGTCGATCTTTTCAAGTCTTTTGAACCATATCACTTTTGTTTCTGGTTCTGATATTGTCATATTGTAGTTTTGGGATTCGGACATCGTTAATTGTGTGGTTGTTGGATCCTAACAGCGGAAAACGACTCGAGAAATGTGTTTGTGAACTCCATAAATGCAAAAGTGAATCAGATGTGTATGACTCAAACCTCCATTCAAACTGTTTCTCTTCCCATCGGAATTGAAAAATAGTGAAAGGTGAAGGCGATGGGCAGGATTGATCCACAGGAAGAACAAAAAAGGAAACTTTTAACTGCCTAAATCATCCCGAGTTTGTAGAGAACATTTTGTATGTGGAGCGAGGACAAAACAAAATCCCAATCCCTCACTCAGTCTTGGTTACGAATTTAAAAAGTCAATGCCAAAGCAAGAGGCACCAACTGTTCACCAAGAAACACCTTCCACTGCAAAGAGACCAAGATGTGATGTTGCTGTAAAACCACAAGAACAAGAAAGTGCAGCTCAGTCTGTTTGTCTTCTGCTCCTCTCCATTAACAAACGGGATTTTGTTTTGTCGTCGCTCCACATACAAAATGTTCTCTGCAAACTCGGGATGATTTAGTCAGTCAGATGATTCCTTTTTGGTTCTTCCTGTGGATCAATCCTGCCCATCGCCTTCACCTTTCACTATTTTTCAATTCCGATGGGAAGAGAAACAGTTTGAATGGAGGTTTGAGTCACACACATCTGATTCACTTTTGCATTTATGGAGTTTGCAAACCAATTTCTCGAGTCGTTTTCCGCTGTTAGGATCCAACAACCACACAATTACCATGTCCGAATCCCAAAACCTAAAATATGACAATATCAGAACCAGAAACAAACGTGATATGGTTCAAAAGACTTGAAAAGATCCACTTTGACAATAGACACATCCCACTGGTAAAACAAACATGGCGGTTTGATTCTCACTTTTTCGGAAAATCCTTCCCAGTATGAATTGCGCAATGACCGGAAGTTTGAGATTCTTGATGCGTGTATTGAAACACCTTTTCATAACTGAGGATTTGCAGCGTTTTGTTTCACTGTTTCTGTTTGTGGTTGCGTCAGTATGAAATAAACCCCTGTGAGATTCTGTTCAGGCTCTCGTTTTGTCATATTCGTCCTGAAAACGTTTCGCTGTGCCCCCGCAGGTCCACGCCATCCCCCTGCGCTCCTCTTGGGTGATGACCTGCGCCTACGCCCCCTCTGGGAACTACGTGGCCTGTGGAGGTCTGGACAACATCTGCTCCATCTACAACCTCAAGACCCGCGAAGGCAACGTGCGCGTGAGCCGCGAGCTCGCCGGGCACACAGGTAAAAACACCAGACCTAACAAGTATGAACCTAAACTATACAGGTAAAAACACCAGACCTAACAAGTATGAACCTAAACTATACATATAAAAGTACTGTACTACCAAGTATGAACCTAAACTAAACAAGTAAAAGCACTAGACTAACAAGTAAGAACCTAAACTATACAGGTAAAAACTACTGTACCTAACAAGTATGAACCTAAACTATACATATAAAAGTACTGTTCTACCAAATATGAACCTAAACTATACAGGTAAAAGTACTGGACTAACAAGTATGAACCTAAACTAAACTGGTAAAAACACTGAATTTATCAAGTATGAACCCAAACTATATAGGTAAAAGCAGTGTACTATCAAGTATTAACCTGAACAAACAGGTAAAGGCACTGGACTATCAAGTATGAACCTAAACTAAATGGGTAACAACAGTGTACTACCAAGTATGAACCTAAAATATACAGGTAAAAAGCACAGAACTATCAAGTATGAACCTAAACTATACAGGTAAAACTACTGTACTATGAAGTATGAACCTAAAATATACAGGTAAAAAGCACAGGACTATCAAGTATGAACCTAAATTATATAGGTAAACTACTGTACTATCAAGTATGAACCTAAACTATAGGTTCATACTTGATAGTACAGTAGTTTTACCTGTAAATTATACAGGTAAAAGCACTGAACCTAACAAGTATGAGCCTAAACTATACAGATAAAGGCACTGTACTATCAAGTATGAACCTAAACTAAACGGGTAAAAGTACTGCACCATGAAGTATGAACCTAAACTAAATGGGTAAAAACAGTGTACTATCAAGTATGAACCTAAAATCTACAGGTAAAAGCTCTGTACTATCAAGTATGAACCTAAAATCTACAGGTAAAAGCTCTGTACTATCAAGTATGAACCTGGACTCTGCAGGTACAGTCAGAGTCCTGTCAAGTATGAGCTAAACCACACAGGCAAAGCCACTGCAAGTACCAAATATGAACCTAAACTCTACAGATACTGCCACTGTCCTATCTAGTATGATCAAATATAAACCTAAACCGCGCAGGTCCACTCCTGGGCTGTTAGACGTAGTATAAACGAAGTATAAACCCAAATCTAAATGAGCTCCCTGCTTTGACTATCTTTAGAGAGGCAGTATTGTGCAAATGGACTTTTCGGGAGCTTCCTACCGTGTTATAACGTTGTTCCCTCATCAGAAACACGTCTGAAGAGGTTTTAGAGTCATCCGTGCATGTTTGAGTAATCTAGCGATCTCTCCCAGGCCCTATTCAAACCCTCCTTATAACCCTGTTTGCAGCCTGATTCTGTCCCCCATGGCTCCCACACGATAATTCTCCATAAACTTACAAAAACATGATACAAAACTGTGCGCACAACTTGACGGGACGTTCGCTGATTTTTGTAACGTGATAGCGCTCTGAAAGGGGAGTGACTGAGCACGAAGAGCAAAAAGAGGGGACAGTCAGAGTAGTAAAAACAAAGCTGAAACTTGGTAGTGAAACATGTTAATACGTTTGGCGAATATAACATTTTCCAAACAATAGAAGGAACACGGAGATATAAATATGTTAAGTGTTTGCAGTTAATATACAAGTGTAATAAAGGAGGAAAATATGTGAGGAGGAGGAGGAGGAGAGCAGACTCCACCGCTCCTCCTCCTCCTCACACTGTTTGGGGAGGAAGAGCAGAGGAGACTGTGTGAGGAGGAGGAGAAGAGAGTGTGAGGAGGAAGATCAGAGGAAACCGTGAGGAAGAGGAGGAGGAGCAGAGAAGACTGAGGAGGAGAGAAGACTATGTGAGGAGGAGAGAAGACAATGTGAGGAGGAGGAGCAGAGGAGACTTTGTGAGGAGCAGGGACTTTGTGAGGAGGAGACTTTGTGAGGATAAAGAGCAGAGGACACTGTGAGAAGGAGGAAAAAGGAGAGGAGACTGTGAGGAGGAGAGGAGACTGTGAGGAGGAGAGGAGACTGTGAGGAGGAGAGGACACTGTGAGGAGGAGAGGAGACACTGTGAGGAGGAGAGGAGACACTGTGAGGAGGAGAGGAGACACTGAGGAGGAGAGGAGACTTTGTGAGGAGGAGAGGACTTTGTGTGAGGAGGAGAGGAGACTTTGTGAGGAGGAGAGACTTTGTGAGGAGGAAGAGGAGAGAGGAGAGGAGACTGTGAGGAGGAGAGGAGACTGTGAGGAGGAGAGGAGACTTTGTGAGGAGGAGAGGAGACTTGTGAGGAGGAGAGGAGACTTTGTGAGGAGGAGACTGAGGAGGAAGAGCAGAGGAGACTGTGAGGAGGAGAGGAGACTTTGTGAGGAGGAGAGGAGACTTTGTGAGGAGGAGAGGAGACTTTGTGAGGAGGAGAGGTGAGGAGGAAGAGCAGAGGAGACTGTGAGGAGGGGAGGAGACTTTGTGAGGAGGAGACTGTGAGGAGAGGAGACTTTGTGAGGAGGAGACTGTGAGGAGGAGAGGAGACTTTGTGAGGAGAGGAGACTTTGTGAGAAGGAGAGGAGACTTTGTGAGGAGGAGAGGAGACTTTGTGAGGAGGAGAGGAGACTTTGTGAGGAGGAGAGGAGACTTTGTGAGGAGAGAGGAGACTTTGTGAGGAGGAGAGGAGACTGTGAGGAGGAGAGGAGACTTTGTGAGGAGGAGAGAGACTGTGAGGAGGAGAGGAGACTTTGTGAGGAGGAGAGGAGACTTTGTGAGGAGGAAGAGCAGAGGAGACTGTGAGGAGGAGGAAGAGCAGTAGTTTAGTAGAGGAGTAGTTTAGGGCTGTGCTGCTCCAGAGTAACCCGTGGGTCACATGGGCCACACACACACAAAGAGCACTTATCTGCAGCGTCACATGACCCGCGTCACATGGTACAGGAAGCGCGGCGGCGTCTCATCTGGAGGGGCGATGTTAGAATGTCGGGATTGGCCATTCGAAGTGATCAAGTTTAGTCAAGAGTTAGAAAACAGGTTCAGGTTTAGGCACAGGAGTGTTTTAAGCTGCAGAAATGTGTAAAAGTCCCGTGTAAAGTCCCGTGTAAAAGTCCTGTGTAACGCCGTTTTCTGAGCTGTTCTAGTGTCGTTTCCTCATCACAGACAAACCCGGAGTTGTGTTTTGTTTCATTCGCACACGTTTAAACACACAGTTCGTCTCTCAAACAACAGAAAACACTCTGTTCCACCTTGTGACGTCATGTGGAAGTGTTTTTAAACTCCACGCACCTTCACTAGAATCGTTTGGACAATTTTAATCCTCTCTCTCTGCTGACTTAAGGTAAAAGGAGGTGTTCACTTGAAAACTACCGCTTCATAAAACAGAATAGAGCTTTTTTTGAGCTTTGGAGATGTAAACTAATCAACTCCGGGAATGTTTTGAGGAGGGAACAACATTTTAACACGGTTTAAAGCTCAATAAAGAGTCAGTTTTGTGGAGTATAGGACCTTTAAGGAAAATATTTTGGGGTTAGTTTTGCTGAGACGGCTTTAAAAAAATGCAATTGCGACTCACTGGCCTTATCTCAACTTGCCCAGTAAAATAAAATAAAACATAAAATAGTCAAAAATACAACGTTGAAAAAGCTGAGGCACTCAAAAAGTACAAAATAATTAAAAACCTTTTAATACCACATGGCAGAAAAGTTAAAATCACCACGTTGTTGTATTAAAGGTGCCACAGTTTTCTCAGTTTTGTATTTGCGACTGATCTCTGCACTGAAGACACCGAAAGGACAATTCTGCACAATCTGTACATCCAGAAACTCTCCAGCCCCATAAAAGTTTTACAGAGTCGAAAATACAACATGTTATGCCTGGTTTAAGCTACAGCAGCCGGAGGTGATCACTTCTGTTTCTCCGGACAAAACGATGGAGCATTAACACAACTAGAGCTCTCCTCCTCTCTCCTCTTCTCTCTTCTATCTTCTCCTCTCTCTTCTTTCCTCTCCTCTCTCTCTTCTCTCTCTTCTCTCCTCCTCTTCTCTTCATCTCTTGTCTCTCCTCTTTCCTTTCTCCTCTCCTCCTTTCTCCTCCTCTCTCTCCTTTCCCCTTTCCTTCTCTCCTCTCTTCTCTTTCCACTTTTCTCTCCCCTTCTCCTCCTCTCTCCTTTCGTCCTCTATTCCTCTTTTGTCTCTCCTCTCCCCTTTCCTCCTCTCCTCTCTTCTCTCCTCTCCTCCTCCTCTCTCCTGTCTCCTCTCTTCCTTTCCTCTCTTTTCTTTTTTCTTCCCTTCTTCTCCTCTCCCCCTCTCCTCCTCTTTCCTCCTCATCTCTCCTCTGCTCCTGTCTCCTCTCTCCTCTCCTCTCCTCTCTTCTCTTTCCTCTTTTCTCTCCCCTTCTCCTCTCTCTTCTCTCCTCTCCTCTTTCCTCTCTCCTTCTCTCCTCCTGTCTCCTCTCCTTTCCTCTCCCCTTTCCTCCTCTCCTCCTCCTCTTTCCTCTTTCCTCTCACAGCTCCTGCCATTTCATTATAAAACTAACAACGAACACACACTAATGTCTCTCTGTGTGTCTCTGTGTGTCTCTGTGTGTCTCTGTGTGTGTGTGTGTGTATCTCTGTGTGTGTGTGTGTGTGTGTAGGTTACCTGTCCTGCTGTCGCTTTCTGGACGACAACCAGATCGTCACGAGCTCTGGAGACACCACCTGGTGAGTAGAGGAACTGCAGCTGCACCTTTTAAAAAAACATCACAAAGTAAAAACCTTTTTTTTTTTTTTTTTTTTTTTTTTTTTTTTTTTTTTTTTTTTTTTTTTCTCTCCTCCTTTTAAACACGGACATATTCAGCCTGGACAAACTCTTCGTGTTTTTATTAAAGAAAAAGTGCCTCTGTGAGTTGACGTGTGTCTCTGTTAGTTATTTATTTATTTCAAACCTGCACGTACAATTCACATGACAAGATAACAACAAAAGGGTACGGATGAGGCAAGATTATTACCGTATTTTTCGGGCTATTAGTCGCGCTCTTAAGCCTCTAACTCCAACAAAAAACAACCGTGCGCCACAATCCAGAGCCCACACACGAATCCACTCGGGTGTCCCAGCACGACTTCAGTAAACTACAAAACCGCAAACACACATGGAGCAGACGGCGACCGCACAGAGAAACACACCCACACACACACTCATCACTCCACGACAACGAGGAACGGAACGGAGGAACGAACCGAGAAGGCGAGCGCAGTTCTAATGTTATGGTCATGAATAAAACAGAAGGAACTTGTTCAGACTGATTCTACAGTTAAAATTAAAAATCGGTTTCATGATGTCGATATTAGGGATGGGCATGTTTAGTCGATTAATCGATAATTGATCACTAAGAATTTCATCGATAACGTACATTTTAATCGTCAAACCAAATGTAGGTTGCTGTGTGTATCGTGACAAAACAGGTGTGTACATGTGTCTCTGCATCAGAAGGAGCGAGACACAAACAGTGGGTCAGTCTGTAACGAACCGAAGCACAAATGTGGATTTAACGATGATTTGTACAAGAAATTCCACACTTTCTGTTGCGTTGGGACAAGTGTGAGTCCATGTGCACAGTGTATAAAGCAGCACATATGTTTCTGTGTCCAGTGGGAAAAAGTTTTTCCAGGTGAGAGTCGCTCAATGTGGATGATGAGGCCCCGCCCCCCTCCCCCCGTACGCTGTCCTGGTTTTGACAAACACAAATCTGGTCACACTGACCTGTATTCACCTGAGTCATGTCTTTTAATCTGACAGAAGTTGAACCACATCAGCGACACAAGAGCTGGAGTTTTATCTTCACTTAGTTTATGCAAATTAGTGATGTGGTTTTAAGTTTTGTTTCTGTGAGATTTGAACAAAACTGAATTAAACACATTATAATGTCAAACAGCTGATGTGGCTCTAGAGTCGTTATGTTTATATGTTGTAAAGTTGAATTTATTTATGCAGATTAGTGCAGATAGTAATAATAATGATGATCATTTAAATATAAAAACGTTAATGATTAATCGATAATCGATCATTAAATCTTCCGACGATCGATTAAGAAAATTTCATCAAATGCCCATCCCTAGTTGATATTAGTACAGGCGAGTTTCAGCTGACGTCATTGTTATTAAAAGTCCGCGTTGCTGCTGGGAAATATTTTGGTCGGAGGTAAGAAACACGGTAGCGTCAAACACAGTGCGTAACCTCGCGTATTTCTCCTCGATAATGGTGAATTCCTGCTGCATTATCGGATGCACAAATAGAAGCACGGAAGAAGGAAAATGTCTTTTTCGTGTTCTGAGTGAAAAGAACCTCTGACGGTGAATTAAAGGACTTTCAAACATCCGCAGAGCAAACGTAGAAGATCCTAACAAACCGTGGACTCAACAAGTTCAACAACACATCGAGACTCTTGGAGGTTTTCATCTTTTCTGCTGTGAATGGCCCAGGAGTTTCCACCAAGTCATTGTGGATGTCGCCCAAGTGAATATTTGTCCAGGTAGTTGGAGATTCAGACCAGAAATTTGGTTTTGTTCCACCTTTTGTCGGGGTTGAAAAGGGTGATTTGTCGTCCGTCGATGCTTATGACCAATTTCTGGTCAAATGGTCTTGGGTCCTCTGCCGTTAGTGGATAAATAACCAGGATCAATACCCTTTACGTTCTTTCTCGCTCCGTCCGTCATGTTGAAGTAGTGTTTCTTTCCGCTGACCAAAATAATTCCCAGCATGCAACGCGCGCTTTTGTCAACAATGAAACTTCGCGCTTTTAAAACCTCCAACTTCATCAAAAAACGACTGTGGGGTCGCGTCTTCGTTTTTTCTTCCGCGTTTAGACGAGTGTTGAAAATCCTCCCTGATCTAAACGTTTCATCGCTGTGGTTTTAGTTGTGTCCAGTTTAGTTTGTTTCTCTGACCAGTCTTCTTCTCTTCCTCCTCCTCTTCTCCTTCTTCTTTTCTCTTCTTCCTCTTTCTCATGTTCCTCCTCCTTTTCCTCTCTTCTCCTCCCCTCTCTCTTTACTCTCCCCCTCCCCTTTCTCTTTCGCTTCCTCTCTTCCTCTTCCTCCTCTTCCTTCTCCTGTTCATTCTCTTCTCTTCTTTCTCTTCCTCCTTCTCTGCTTTCGCTTCCTCCTTCTCCTCTTCTTCCTCTTGCTCCTTCACTTCTTTCTCTTCCTCCTCCTCTTTGTCTTCCTCCTTCCCTTTTTTCTTTCTTCCTCCTTTTCTTCTTTCTCTTCCTCCTTTTCTTCTTTCTTCATCTTCCTCTTCTTCCTCTTCCTCCTCCTTCTCTTTCTCTTCTTCCTCTTCCTCTCCTCTCTCTCTTCCTCCTCCACTTCTTTCTCTTCCTCCTCCTCCTTTTCCTCTTCTTTCTCTTCCTCCTCCTCTTTGTCTTCCTCCTTCCCTTCTTTCTTTCTTCCTTCCTCCTTTTCTTCTTTCTTCATCTTCCTCCTCCTTCTCTTCTTTCTCTTCCTCCTCCTCCTTCTTTCTTTCTTCCTCCTCCACTTCTTTCTTTCTCCTTCTCTTCTTCCTCTTCCTCCTTCTTTCTTTCTTCCTCCTCCACTTCTTTCTCTTTCTCCTTCTCTTCTTCCTCCTTCTTCCTCCTCCTCCTCTCTCTCCTCTCCTCTCCTCCTCTCCTCTCTCCTCTCTCTCCTCCTCTCTCCTCCTCCTCCTCTCCTCTCCTCTCTCCTCTCTCTCCTCCTCTCTCCTCCTCCTCCTCCTCTCCTCCTCCTCTCCTCCTCCTCCTCTCCTCCTCCTCCTCCTCTCCTCCTCTCCTCTCCTCCTCCTCCTCTCTCTCTCTCCTCCTCTCCTCTCCTCCTCTCTCCTCCTCCTCTCTCCTCCTCCTCTCCTCCTCCTCTCCTCCTCCTCTCCTCTCCTCCTCCTCCTCCCCTCCTCCCTCCTTCCCGGTGCAGTGCTCTGTGGGACATCGAGACGGGGCAGCAGACCACCACGTTCGCTGGTCACACCGGGGACGTGATGAGTCTGTCTCTGGCCCCGGACACTCGGCTCTTCGTGTCCGGAGCCTGTGACGCCTCCGCCAAACTCTGGGACATCAGAGAAGGGATGTGCCGGCAGACGTTCACCGGGCACGAGTCCGACATCAACGCCATCTGTGTGAGTGGGACAACGCACACACACCCTGACACACGCACACACACGACACACACACACACACACGACACACACACAGACGACACACAGAGAGAGACACATACAGACACACACAGACGTTCACCGGGCACGAATCCGACATCAACGCCATCTGTGTGAGTGGGACAACGCACACACACCCTGACACACGCACACACACGACACACACACACACACATGACACACAGAGAGAGACACATACAGACACACACAGACGTTCACCGGGCACGAGTCCGACATCAACGCCATCTGTGTGAGTGGGACAACGCACACACACCCTGACACACACACGCACACGACACACACACACACACACACACACACGACACACACACACACGACACACAGAGAGAGACACATACAGACACACACACAGACGTTCACCGGGCACGAGTCCGACATCAACGCCATCTGTGTGAGTGGGACAACGCACACACACACCCTGACACACGCACACACGACACACACACACATGACACACAGAGAGAGACACATACAGACACACACAGACGTTCACCGGGCACGAGTCCGACATCAACGCCATCTGTGTGAGTGGGACAACGCACACACACACCCTGACACACGCACACGACACACACACACGACACACACGACACACACAGACGACACACAGAGAGAGACACATACAGACACACACAGACGTTCACCGGGCACGAGTCCGACATCAACGCCATCTGTGTGAGTGGGACAACGCACACACACCCTGACACACACACACACACACACACACACACGACACACGACACACACAGACGACACACAGAGAGAGACACATACAGACACACACAGACGTTCACCGGGCACGAGTCCGACATCAACGCCATCTGTGTGAGTGGGACACACGCACACACACACTGACACACACACACACGACACACAGAGAGAGACACATACAGACACACACAGACGTTCACCAGGCACGAGGACGCACATACACACGGACACACAGAGAGAGAGGGACACACACACGACACACACACAGACACAGACAGACACACACATAGACGTTCACCGGGCATGAGTCCGACATCAACGCCATCTGTGTGAGTGGGACAACGCACGCACCTCGCACACACGACACACGACACACACACACACGACACACACACACAGACACACACAGACGTTCACCGGGCACGAGTCCGACATCAACGCCATCTGTGTGAGTGGGACAACGCACACGCCTCACGGACGGACACGTACACGTTTATGGTCGTACAAACTTATAATAATGTTAACGAAGGCACAAAAGTTTATGACCCTACAAAATAAACCACAATAAGAATGAAAAAACTAATAATAATGACAAACATTTACTCATTTAGATAATTTATTTAATTTCATTTTTTTTTTTTTTTTTTTTTTTTTTTTTTTTTTTGTTTTTTTTTTTTTTTTTTTTTTTTTGTTTCCATTCTAGTCCAGCTTTTTGGAACTGTAAGAGCCGTAACTCACCAACACGTCACCTTTTTTGTCCAATCCAAATGTGAAACACTTGTCACCAGATCGTTTTTTTTCTCTTGTCTCTTGCTCGACCTTGTGGTAATTTTCTCACGAGGTCTTGTGGCTCGAGATCTTGTAGCATCTCGAGTGAAAAAGGTTTTTATTTTGAGTGTCAGTTCAGACTCTCGTTCTTTTAGTGAAAGTTTAAACAGTTCAGTGGGACGGTGGTTCTTTTCTTCAGTGCTCGTCGCTCTCTGTGCTGCTCTTTTCCCTCCAAAACCTCCAGAACATGTAGGTCAGGTTAACCCACAACGCCGCCGCCGCCGTCGTCGAGCGAGAGCAGCAGCAGCAGCAGCAGCAGCTGCCGCCGCCGCCGCAGCAGCAGCAGCAGCAGCAGCGGTGCACAAAGAACCACCTGAGCTACACAAATGTGCTGTGCAACTTTCAGGGAGAATAAAGAAAGACGTGAACTCTGATCTTATCTGATCTGATCTGATGTCCTCACACTCCTTGAACTTCATGCTAGTGTGAAAAAAATAAAATAAAATAAACACATTGAGTTTCCAGACAGGTCAGAGGAATTGCAGATGTTCAAATGTGTTCAGATAAAAGTAAAAAATAATGATCTGTACAAGTGACTTTGTGACATACGTCTGTGAAAAGAGCTATAGAAATAAAAACTTACCGAACCAATGAATTAACTAAATAACTAAATAAAATAAATAAAAATAATAATTTTTAAAAATCAAATAAAAACTAAATAATTAAATTAACAAATAATAATAATAATAATAAAAACAGAATAAATAAATAAGTAAAATAAATACAAAATAAAAATAATCAAATAAAAATGTTATGATTAAATAAATAAAATAATAATAAAAAATAATAGTCATCAGATAAAAACATAATAAAATAGTAAAATAAATAATAAAATTAAATAAATATAGGGTTCCCACGGTCATGGAAATCCTGGAAAAGTCATGGAATTTTTCACGCAACTGCAGCATGTCTGTGAAAAGAGCTATAGAAATAAAAACTTACTAACTAATGAACTAACTAAATAAATAACTATATAAACAAAAATAACAATCAAATAAAAATTAATATAAAATAAATAATATAATTAAATTAAATTAAATTAAATAAATACCGCGTTCCCACAGTCATGGAAATCCAATTTTTATCCCCACAACTCACAAGTTCTCATGAGGCTGTTCTCATTATTTCTGAACGTCAGAATTTTGTCAGATTTCAACTAAACCGATATCAACTGAACCGATACCCGATACTGCAAACTTTCCTGGATTGGCGCCTACACCTGAGTATTTGTATCTGTGAATCCCTCAAATAGCAGAGAGTAGAAATAGAAGTCTTGTCTCTCCTCCATCTCATCTTGTTTTTGGTTTTTTTTTTCTTCTCAGTTCTTCCCCAACGGAAACGCCTTCGCCACCGGCTCCGACGACGCCACGTGCCGGCTGTTTGACCTCCGCGCCGACCAGGAGCTCATGGTCTATTCCCACGACAACATCATCTGTGGCATCACCTCTGTGGCGTTCTCCAAGAGCGGGCGCCTCCTGCTGGCCGGATACGACGACTTCAACTGCAACGTGTGGGACACTCTGAAGGCCGACCGCGCAGGTACACGCCACCGCCGAACCGTAGTCCTGTTCCCGAAGCGTAGGCCCGTTCCCGAAGCGTAGGCCCGTTCCCGAAGCGTAGGCCCGTTCCCGAAGCGTAGTCCCGTTCCCGAAGCGTAGTCCCGTTCCCAAAGCGAAGCATAGTCCCGTTCCCGAAGCCTGTTTCTGAACCGTAGTCCCGTTCCCGAAGCGTAGTCCCGTTCCCAAAGCGAAGCATAGTCCCGTTCCCGAAGCCTGTTCCGAAGCGTTCCCGAAGCCTGTTCCCGAAGCCTTCCCGAAGCCTGTTCCCGAAGCCTGTTCCCGAAGCCTGTTCCCGAAGCGTAGTCCCGTTCCCGAAGCGTAGTCCCGTTCCCGAAGCGTAGTCCCGTTCCCAAAGCGAAGCGTAGTCCCGTTCCCGAAGCGTAGTCCCGTTCCCGAAGCGTAGTCCCGTTCCCGAAGCGTAGTCCCGTTCTCGAAGCGTAGTCCTGTTCTCGAAGCGTAGTCCCGTTCCCGAAGCGTAGTCCCGTTCCCGAAGCGTAGTCCCGTTCTCGAAGCGTAGTCCTGTTCTCGAAGTGTAGTCCCGTTCCCGAAGCGTAGTCCTGTTCCCGAAGCGTAGTCCTGTTCCCGAAGTGTAGTCCCGTTCCCGAAGCCTGTTTCTGAAGCGTAGTCCCTTTCTTAAAGCCTGTTCCCAACGCGTAGGCCTGTTCTCAAAGCTTAGGCCTGTTCCCGAAGCATGGTCCTCTTCCCGAAGCGTAGTCCCATTCCTGAAGCGTAGCCCTGTTCCCGAAGCCTGATTCCGAATCGTAGTCCTGTTCCCGAAGCGTAGGCACAAGCACAATAGGTCTTCTTTAATGAATGAACAAAAATACAACAGGAGTGTTTTGGTGAGGGGACAACTGTATATAAGGTTAAAATCTGCCTCCAGCAGTTATTTTAATGTCCCCAAAAAGCATCGCAACCCCATATGTACGAACAGTAAATGGAGGAATGATAAATAAGTACAGACGGATCAATATATGGGCAGAAATTTGCTCTTATTTAGCTTATCATTTAATGTCCTCAAGTCTCCACCAGAGGCCAATATTTAGTTTGTTTTGTTGTTTTTATTTGAACACTTAAGTCCAAAAAGTTACTGCTAAAATGTGACGACACTGGACACTGGAGTTTGTTGTAAAAGGAGGTTCTGAATGAGTTTGTGAGAATTATAAACTGGACAAATGGGTTCGGTCAAGTGTTAACGGAGGGAAACAGGGTCAGATTTTTGACATTCAAATGTCTCTTATTCAGAAACTAGAGGAACTATTGAAATAAGTAAAGTATCAGAATGTAGGAAAGAGTTACACTCCAACAGGGTCAAGTTAAACCTGTGAGATTCTTTCAAGTTCAAGACAAAAAATTAAAAAACTCATGTTGGTAACGGAGGAATGAAATATGCAGCACTTTTTGGTCAATAAATCCAAACAGTGATAACTCTTGGTTCTCACTTACATATCCTTAACAAACTGGTTTGAATATTTGCTTCATATAGTTTTCTACCATATGGTACAAGATTAGGTTGAAAAACCTCTGACTTTTTTGACTCATGAGATTTTTTTTATTAAGAAAGGTTCATGGTAACGGAGGGAAAAGTAACGGAGGGAAAATTGTGCAAACAAGTAGAAGGTGCAGGATTTTACATCATTTGTCTCTTTTTTTCTTCTGAAAACTTTAATATTACTTCAAAATGAAAGAAACTATTTCTATAAAATATGTCAGTCCTTCCAAGAACATTTTTATCATTTTAAATACTTTTTTTTTTTAAATCATGTCCCTTCATCAACAGTTCAAAGATGGAATAACACAAGATATGATGAAATACATCCATTTATTTACATGATTTTCAGGTCTTTGAAATTTGGGAAATAATTTTTGTTCCATGTTTCATACATGGTCTGTTTAAAACGGATGGAACTTTAGAACCAAAAATGGTCCAGAAAAAAGGTCAACAGTTTCATAAACTAGAGTACATATGTATCTGTTCAATACATTTTTATATCAGATGAATTAACTGGAATTTTTGGCCTTGTTGTTTACTTCTGCTTGACTGGACCCACATACAGCTCATATCAACCTAAAAACATCGGCAGAGGTCTTGATCCATCAGTTTCTCTGTCTTCTGCACAAGATGTAAGACGTCTAATGTAAACTTTTTGGTGTTTTTTGTTTGTTTTTTTCAGGGGTGCTGGCGGGCCACGATAACCGGGTGAGCTGTTTGGGGGTGACTGATGACGGCATGGCAGTGGCTACAGGGTCCTGGGACAGCTTCCTCAAGATCTGGAACTAGAGTCCAAAGGTAAAAACTCGGCTCCTCTTCGTCACACCGTCCACTTTCACTTTCACTTTCAGAGCAGGACCACAGGGGGGCAGTAAACGCTCACACTTACACCACACGTCTGAGAGGATGTGTGCACTGAACAGAACTCTTAAAGGTCCGATTCCTGATTTTTATTTATTCTTGTCAAGATTAAAGTTTTTTACATCAGGTCCGTGTTTGGTAAAAGCTGCAAAAATATGGAGCAATAAAACTTTCAGGAATATTTTGTGTGCTTAGGCGCTTAGAGAAATCTGTGCGTGTTTGTCTCTAGTTGAGCAAAAAATAAATATTTGTGAACTTTCCAATGAGTTCAGTCGTGTTTAAAATGTGTTTTCCTGGTTCAGTTCTGGTTTAGTCCTCTAGATTCAGTCCTGGTTTAGACCTGGTTTAGTACTGGTTTTGTACTGGTTCTAGTCCTGGTTCAGTCCTGGTTCAGTCCTGGTTTAGTCCTGTTTTAGTCCTGGGTTAGTCCTGTTTTAGACTTCGTTCAGTCCTGGTTCAGACCTGGTTTAGACCTGGTTTTGTACTGGGTTAGTCCTGGTTCAGTTCTGGTTTTGACCTGGTTCAGACCTGGTTCTAGTCCTGGTTCAGTCCTGGTTTAGACCTGTTTTAGTCCCGGTTTAGTCCCGGTTTAGTCCCGGTTTAGTCCCGGTTTAGTCCCGGTTTAGTCCCGGCTCAGTCCTGGCTCAGTCCTGGTTTAGTCCTGGTTTAATCCTGGTTTAGTCCTGGTTTAGTCCTGGTTTAGTCCTGGTTTAGACTTGGTTTAGACCTGGTTTAGACCTGGTTCAGTCCCGGTTTAGTCCTGGTTTAGTCCTGGTTCAGTCCTGGTTTAGTCCTGGTTTAGTCCTGGCTCAGTCCTGGTTTAGTCCTGGTTTAGTCCTGGTTTAGTCCTGGTTTAGACTTGGTTTAGTCCTGGTTCAGTCCTGTTTTAGTCCTGGTTCAGTCCTGGTTCAGACCTGGTTTAGACCTGGTTTAGACGTGGTTTAGACCTGGTTCAGTCCTGGTTTAGTCCTGGTTTAGTCCTGGTTCAGTCCTGGTTTAGTCCTGGTTCAGTCCTGTTTAGTCCTGGTTCAGTCCTGGTTCAGTCCTGGTTTAGTCCTGGTTTAGTCCTGTTTTAGTCCTGGTTTAGTCCTGGTTCAGTCCTGGTTTAGTCCTGGTTTAGTCCTGTTTTAGTCCTGCTTTAGTCCTGGTTTTGACCTTTTTTAGAGGATCGGGAAACGTCACTTTTTCCAAGACAACAGACGCCCTGGATCCGAGTATTTTTCTCCCGTTTGTCGTTTGTTTGATTCCCCTGACCGGCCCGTGTGTGATCTCCACCCGCCCGTAGTGTTTCCAGAACGTTAAAACTCGGCACAGAACTCTAACTCACACTCGCGCTGGAGGATTTTTCAGATTTTGCTCAGTGGATTAAACCTTCAGGAGGGTTTTAAAGTCTCTTTAAACGTGTGTGAAAGAAACAAAACACGACCTTTTAATAACGACTCTGTGTTTCTTTGTCTGTGTCTGTGCAGGAAAACCTCTGGACTCTTGAGTGGAAGACCATTCCAACTTCACAATGTAAAATTTTCTGGCATATCCGATCTTTTCCACCCACCTCCACCACCGCCACCGCCACCGCCATACTGACTCCAGCCATCCCACAAACTTATCAAAGGGCAAATCTCTCCTCCTCCTCCTCCTTTATTTAAAAAGAGCACAACGTGGTCGCCCCTCCGAAGGAAAAGGAACGGCTCCGACGATTGGCCGGCGAACTCAGCAAGCCCCGCCCCCTCCCTCCTCCCTGTCTGTCCGTCCCTCCTTTTCTCTTTCCCGCCGCCTCCTCCCTCCATCCCTCTCTCCTCCTCGTCGTTCTTTTTCCCGCTGAGCGACCGCCGGGACCGACCGGGATCGAGAGTTCGCCCTAGTTTTAGCGTGACCCCCTTTGACGTTTTTTCCGAATCGCCCACGCCCGTCTGTACGCGCGCCCACGTTTTTTTTTTTTTTTATATTTGTTTTTCTACCTTTTCTTCCCCCGTGTCGTCATGTCTTAGTTTGCACAAGCGGAAAAAAAAACAAAAAAACAACACACATATTAGAGTAACGTCGACTAACGAAGCACACGCCGTCTATAACGAAATAATGAATGCTCTTTTTTTTTTTTTTTTTGACAAGGCGCCCACACATAGCAGATTATGGAGCCTGGCCCTTCCCTCTTTTTTCCCTCTTTTTCCGACTCCCTCTTTGCCCCGATTCCCGCAGCGAAGAGAGCAAATGGAACCCAGGACCCTCCCCTTTCCGCTCTTCCCGTCGGCGCCCGCGTTCACTACTTTTACACGCACGAAAAAATAAAAAAAAACATCGAAACAGACGAGGAGCAGCTCAAAAAACCCAGAAGATCACGAGGCGTTTAGGGGCGTCTAGTCATTTTTAACGTCTAAAAATTCGCGGCGATGATTACTGAACGAAAACGCCGTTCGTACTTAAACCCAAACTTTTACGTAAATGTTAAAACGTTTTATTTTCAGCTGCGTTACTCTGGTAGTTTTTCGCTTTTAACGTAACGGACCAAAAAAAATGGAGAGATTGTAGTTTGTAAACGAGCGCGCAAACGTCCGAACGCGTGTCTAGTTTTTTTCCTCGTCGTTTCTTACCTCGTGCAGTTGGACGCCTCTCCTCGTCCGAGTAAATGGAAACGGGACGTCGGAGCGCGTACGAGCTTCTCCGGACGTTATTCGGAGCTTTGAGATTCGATTCGAGACTCCTCAATCGTCATTCCCGTGTTTACGCTTTCCGGAAAATCGGTTTAATTTGGACGAGACCAGTTCTTTGGTTTTCTAGGTGTGCGTAAATGTAGTGAAAACTTGGCCACTCCCACTCAGACAAATTCTGCGTTCGTTTATCCGTCCGTCTCCTAATCGAATCTCGGATGTGACGCAGTTTTATTACGGTTCGTGTGTCCGATTTGGAGAAAAACGCGGACGCTAAACCGGAAAACTGTTGTTGTTTTCGCGTCAACCGAGCACCAGGAGCAACAAAATAAGTCTGTTCTTCAACTGCAAAACCTCGAGGAAGATTCAGAAAGTATAATTCAGTTTATTAGTGAAGTTAAAGTGTTGGTGTCGCTTCGTAGTCGATCGTTTTGTCACGAAATGGGCTAAAATCGTGGGCGACACCGACGACCAAACCGACACTCAGTGAAACAAAAACAGTAAGTCTTGAGTATCCAAACCTTTTTAGTCCGACGATCTACTTTTACAAAACGAAAACGCGAAAGAGAACTTGTAGTTTTAGCGGTAAATAAAGAGGCACGAAGAGTCTTGGATGACGTACAGACAACGACTATTAAACATAAACCAATATCTGTTTATTAGTGGACGAAGTTCGGAATTAGAATGACACACGTACAATGGAAAGAGGCTTTTAATGAATCAAATTTTACTTATTGAGCTCAATACGTATGATTGAGAAATAGTTTGGAGAGCTGCTTGGAAGTGGGAGACTGAAATGATCCTTTAAACCAAACCAAAAGCTCCAAACATAAAGTTGAGTTTGTACGTAAAAGTGACTCTGGGCGCCGCGTCTTGGTTGGATTCTGTCTCAGAATCTTTGCCTCGGAGTTTTTCCGAGTTTCGCCGTCCGAGGGAAAGGGGCGTGTCCGTGTGTTTCGCCGGGCAACGTCCTCGGAGCTCAGAGTCTGATGGATAAACGAACGCGCCAAGAAGCTCCTCCCCCTCATACAGAAGCTCCTCCCCCTCATACAGAAGCTCCTCCCCCTCATACAGAAGCTCCTCCCCCTCCCCCTCCCCCTCATACAGAAGCCCCTCCCTCTCAGGCAGGCCCCTCCCTCGCAGTCAGAAACCCCTCCTCCTCAGTCAGGCCCCTCCCTCTCACGCAGAAGCCCCTCCCCCTCCGTCAGACCCCGCTCTCTCTTTCTCTCTTCTCTTTCTCTTTTCTCTCTTCTGTCCCCTGGTTCTTTGGGCCGTGGGCGGGACCCTCAGATCCGTGCTTGGAAATGCAGTTACTACTCTGTGAATGACATGTTGTATAAATCAATGTTTGAAAATAATGATATTGAAACTTTTTAAGTTTAAAACGGAAAAAAAAAAATAGATTTTGGTTGTCTGCCATGGGTGGGTTCTCTCTCTCTCTCTCTCTCTCTCTCTCTCTCTGTCTCTCTTAGAATCGCATGCTGTAGAATTGCTTAAAAAGGTGCATATGGAATTCAATTCTTTGATGTTTTTCTTTAAGAAAAAATGTTGATATATCATAAATACTATGATATGGTATTTATATTTTATTTTTTATGTTTGTTTTTTCCTTGTTCTCGGCTCCTCTGTGCATACACGATACAAGTCAAAAGGTAAAGCTATGCACAGGAGCAGCAGCCCCCGCGTCCCCGGGTCCATCGCACACGGGGGGGGGGGGTCCCACAAATGAAGTTCAATTGTACACATCCTTCATACATCCTCATCACCGCGGCGACGGAACAACTCTTCATTGCTCTGTAGCAGGTCCAGCCCCCTCCCGAGCGCTCCCCCTCCCGAGCGCTCCCCCTCCTCCGAGCGCTCCCCCTCCTGAGCGCAGGCTGTTCGACTCCTCCTCCTCCTCCTCGTTCTCCTCTGACGCTCTTTCTTTAGCACTAGTCACATCTCACTGTTTTTCTCTTCTCTGCTACATCCTGTACAAACATGTGCTGTAATCGTGCGTTTAGGCCTGGAGTTGGCAAAAGTCAATAAATAAATTAAAATACAAAAAAAAAAAAAAAAGTTCAAATGACTTAAATTCCACTTTTTGTTTTTTTTCCCTTTTTTCTCTTATCCTCCATTTTAACTTCAATAACTGTAGAGCTCTGCCCCGACGCTCCCCTTTTCATTTTTTGTATTTAATTTTGAAGTCAGTCAGTGTACAAGAGAACGCTGGATGCAAGATAGAAACTATATTCAAATGTACTGTTATTTAAGATGTAATAAAAGGCAGTTTGAGATGACCCTGTGTTGTGTGATTCTGCGGTTCCACACACGCTCCATGTGGCCCACTCTTACCTGTAATTCTGTTCAAATGAAATAAACACTTTCTTATCCACACCGAGCCCCCATAGTTCTGTTTTATATTCCACTCGACTCGTTACATTTAGATTTTTTAAAAGGTCCGATACGACGCAAAATTGAGCTTTTAAGACGTCGAAATAAATGCAAACGTACAAAATTAACGTCAAAAACAAAGCTGTTTCATTCACACATGTTTGAGTGACAGTTTATTATCAGTCTGTCTACATCACCAAAGTTCAAAACCCTCTGTTCCACCTTGTGATGTCATGAAGTGGTCGTTTCTCATTTTGTGGCTCATTTTTTTTACCTTTAGTCAGTGTTGGGAAGTTTACTTTTAAAATGTAATCCCCTACAGATTACAGATTACACACACGTAAATGTAGTTTGTAACGTAATCCATTAAATTACTTAAAGTGAGTAATGTAATCTGATTACTTTGGATTACTTGATTTGCTGTAGAGAAACAAAGACGAGGAAATCTTCACTTAAGAAGTTTTGTCTGATAAAAGAAAATAAAAAGTCCAGACTTTACTGAACCAAATTCAAAATATTATTGACAGAAGAAGAAGAAACACGTCCACACAGCAGGATTTAGTCCTGTTTTAGACCTGGTTTAGATCTAGTTTAAACATGATTTTAGTCCTGGTTTAGACTGGTTTAGTCCTGGTTTAGTCCTGGTTTAGATCTAGTTTAAACATGATTTTAGTCCTGGTTTAGAACTGGTTTAGTCCTGGTTTAGACCTGGTTTAGATCTAGTTTAGACTTGGTTTTAGTCCTGGTTTAGACCTGGGTTCAGTCCTGGTTCAATCCTGAATTAGTCCTGGTTTAGTTTCCGGCAATGAGTGGAATTAACAAAAAAAAGAAAAAAAAAAAAAATCCCAAAATGTGAAAAACAGGAAAATCCCTCTGTGTAATCCATTTATTTCAACAAAGTAACTGTAATCCAATTACCACTCACTGAAACAGTAACTGTAACTGAATACAGTTACTCATCATTTGTACTCTGATTACATAACTCTGGTACATGTAATCTGTTACTCCCCAACACTGTCTTTAGTTCGATAGAGATGAGCAAATCCAGAGCTAAAATTAGAGTGTTAAAATCGACTCTCACAGTCTAATGTAACATTTTTGGAGATTTTAATTGAGTAACACTGGACTAAAGTTCCTGTTTAACCCCAAAATCAAGAGTTATATGAATGTTTTGAGAGTAAACAGATAACACTTTGTAGAGTTATTCTGATTTATCTAAACAACACACAGAGGTGTTTTATTTTTACACTTTAATTTAGTTCATTTAAGATGAAATTATGAACAAAACTGGGTCAAACTGGTCTCTCACAGGAGTTTAAAGTGGTGGTGCTAAATTAACACTAAGGGAAGTTGAATTAACACTGACATTAACTTCAACCACATCAACTCTGAAAAAAATACAACTCTGAAATATTTCACCCTTGACTTTTAACCCTCCAGTTTTTGCTGTGTGTATTTATATATGTATAAATATGATTAGAGTGAAGGTGTGTGAAGTTTATAAACACAGTGGAGCACTTTCTGTTTCACCAGATGACATCACGAGGTGGAACAGAGTGTTTTATGTGCGAGAAAAGAACATAAACTAAGTCTGCAGTGTTTGTGTGTTAATTAAACGTGTGTGAATGAAACAAAACACAACTCCAGGTCTGTTTGTGACGAGGAAACTGGATTATAACATAAATCAGAAAATAGCGTAAATATGAGCCCTTTAAAGAAATGACACTTTTCAGAGTACTTTTCTGACACAATACTTTTACTCCTACTTGAGTAATATTTGGGTCCGGTCAAGTGGTAACGGAGGGAAACAGGGTCAGATTTTTGACATTCAAATGTCTCTTATTCAGAAACTAGAGGAACTATTGAAATAAGTAAAGTATCAGAATGTAGGAAAGAGTTACACTCCAACAGGGTCAAGTTAAACCTGTGAGATTCTTTCAAGTTCAAGACAAAAAATTTAAAAACTCATGTCGGTAACGGAGGGAATGAAATATGCAGCACTTTTTGGTCAATAAATCCAAACAGTGATAACTCTTGGTTCTCACTTACATATCCTTAACAAACTGGTTTGAATATTTGCTTCATATAGTTTTCTACCATATGGAACAAGATTAGGTTGAAAAACCTCTGACTTTTTGACTCATGAGATTTTTTATTAAGAAAGTTCATGGTAACGGAGGGAAAAGTAACGGAGGGAAAATTGTACAAACAAGTAGAAGGTGCAGGATTTTACATCATTTGTCACTTTTTTTTCTTCTGAAAACTTTAATATTACTTCAAAATGAAAAGAAACTATTTCTATAAAATATGTCAGTCCTTCCAAGCCAATTTTTATCATTTTTAAATACATTTTTTTTTAAAAAAAAATCATGTCCCTTCATCAACAGTTCAAAGATGGAATAACACAAGATATGATGAAATACAAACATTTATTTACATGATTTTTGGGTCTTTGAAATTTGGGAAATAATTTTTGTTCCATGTTTCATACATGGTCTGTTTAAAACATATGGAACTTTAGAACCAAAAATGGTACAGAAAAAAGGTCAACAGTTTCATAAACTAGAGTACATATGTATCTGTTCAATACATTTTTATATCAGATGAATTAACTTGAATTTTTGCCCTTGTTGTTTACTTCTTCTTGACTTGTATTGCAGTAACTGTACTGTTACTTGAGTAAAAGTTGAGTTTCCTCTTCCCACGTTGAGTCTAAAGTGACAAAAGCTTCATGTGACAATAGGAAACAATTTAAACGTTTGTGTTTCTTCAGATCTGATTCAGTTTGTCTCATTTTTGTGTCCGTCCTTTAAAAAACACCAGATTTTGTGATTTATTTAACATTTTGTCTTTCACATTACATTCACTTCAAATTATAAATCAGATATTACGTCCTGACAGTTGCTCTTTATGTTACACAGTCGATTTTTTTAGACCACTTCTTCGTACTTCTACTAGACTAATATTATTTTGAAGTAACATTACTCTAACTTGAGTACAATTTTTGTCTCCTCTATCACCTCTGAGTATTTACACAGTCTATGGTCTGTAGAGTCATTAAAAATACACTTTCATTTTTAACATTTCTGACATTTTTGAGTCCATAAAGCTCAATATTACTGGATTTTTATCATCAGTTGTAGCCTGTCTGTAAATATTTGTCATCTACATTCCCTGATGGTGTGACCCGGGACACAGAAGATTTATCCAAAACCATTGATTTGTCCCAGTTTTATACAAGAAATGTCCCTAGTGTCCCTGTTTTTGACCAATTTGATCCCTGCCAACAGTAAAGAGACATAAACTGTCATTTTCCACTTAAAAATGACCAAAACACAAAGAAAATGTGACAACACTGACTCACGTTAATCATAAATAAGGTGACCACATTATCAAAACTCAAAACTGGAACACACTCGGGTTGGGATGGTTGGGATAAATAAATTTATAAAAAGATCGTGAAACATTGTGGATTCTTATGTCAGTCGTGATCTGAGGAGCTTCTGTCGCTGCATTTTTTGCTTTATGGTCATTTGCAAACACGGTTTTCTGTATTTTTCCCAAATAAATGACAATTTATGCTCCTCTTTTACTGTTGGCAGGGGTCAGATTAGTCAAACATTGTGATAGTCCAGTTTTAGTCCTGGTTTAGTCCTGGTTTAGACCTGATGTAGTCCTGGTTTAGTTTTTAGTTTAGTCCTGGGTTATTCCTGGTTTAGACCTGGTTTAGACCTGGTTTAGTCCTGGTTTAGACCTGATGTAGTCCTGGTTTAGTCTTAGTTTAGTCCTGGTTTAGTCCTGATGTTTAGTCCTGGTTTAGTCCTGGTTTAGACCTGATGTAGTCCTGATGTAGTCCTGGTTTAGTCCTAGTTTAGACCTGATGTAGTCCTGGTGTAGTCCTGGTTTAGTTCTGGTTTAGACCTGATGTAGTCCTGGTTTAATCTTAGTTTAGTCCTAGTTTAGACCTGATGTAGTCCTGGTTTAGTCCTGGTTTAGACCTGATGTAGTCCTGGTTTAGTCTTAGTTTAGTCCTGGTTTAGACCTGATGTAGTCCTGGTTTAGTGTAGTCCTGGTTTAGTCCTGGTTTAGACCTGATGTAGTCCTGGTTTAGTTTTAGTTTAGTCCTGGTTTAGTCCTGGTTTAGACCTGGTTTAGACCTGGTTTAGTCCTGGTTTAGACCTGATGTAGTCCTGGTTTAGTTTTAGTTTAGTCCTGGTTTAGACCTGATGTAGTCCTGGTTTAGTTTTAGTTTAGTCCTGGTTTAGACCTGATGTAGTCCTGGTTTAGTTTTAGTTTAGTCCTGGTTTAGACCTGGTTTAGACCTGGTTTAGTCCTGGTTTAGACCTGATGTAGTCCTGGTTTAGTTTTAGTTTACTCCTGGTTTAGATCAAATTTGTCAAAAACAGGGACATTTCTTGTATAAAACTGGAACAAATCACTGGTTTTGGATAAATCTGATGAAACCTGTGCTAACTTTAGGCACTGCTCTGTCTGAAGCTTTGTTAGACTTTAATTTGTGTTTTATTTGAACACAATCTGACCAGAAAGAGCCCACTTAACTTCGCTGATTTGTGCCGTTAAACTGTTAAAAGTCTCTCACACACATAAACATTACGATCACGAACAGTTTTTCGGTACATTTTAACGGACTACATCTGTATTAATGATTATTTCTGATTAAAATGTAATAAAATCCAACGATAGCCCAGTAACAATGAATGGTTTTAAGGAGAATGGCGCCCCCTGCTGACAGAGTTAACGCAAAACCAAATAATAAATAAAATACGGTAAAATACGTAAAGAAATAGGCTAACTAACAAACTAACTAAATTAATTAATTAATTAATAAGTGAATAAATAAATACATAATACATAAATAAAATGAAATAAAACTGAAAATTAAAATAAAATGAAATAAAATAAATAGCGTTTTTTTTTTTTGTTTTTTTTTTTTTTTGTCTAATTGCGTCATAAACTCTCACTCATCGTTACCAATTTGTTCATCGTGGCATTTTTATATCGGTTTTTTTTTAATTGATTGATGCAAAAGGAAATGTTACAAAATAAGGTAAAAATAAGCTAACTAACTATAATAAATAAATACATAAATAAAAATAAATATTACTTTTCTTTTTTTTTTTGTCATAAATTCACCGTCACCAGGTTGTTCATTGTAGCATTTTTATAAAGAGATATTATAATTAACTGATGCAAAACCATGTCGTAAAATATGGTAAAAAAAAAAAAAAAAAAAAAAAAAAGGCTAACTAACTATAACTAACTAACCAACCAACCAAAAAAAAAAAAATAATAATAATAAAAAATTAAAATAAAATATAATATAAGAAGATATAATAAAATAAATAAATACATAAATAAATAAAATTGCAGTTTGCCTTTTTATTTTATTGCGTCATAAAGTTTTTTCATCGTGACATTTTTATAAAGAGATATTATAATTAACTGATGACATGTCGTAAAATATGGTAAAAAAACAACAACAACTAACTATAACTAACTAACCAACCAAATAAATAAAATAATAATAATAATAATAATAATAATAATAATAATAATAATAATAATAATAATAATGATGATGATAATAAATAAATGCATAAATACGTAGAATAGCTGTTTGCCTTTTTATTTTATTGCGTCATTAAGTGTTTTCATCGTGGCATTTTTATAAAGAGATATTATAATTAACTGCATGTATTAAATAGATAAGAGATGTCCACGGTCCTGTCCACTCGGAGGGGGCTGTCCCGGGCGGTCCTCCCGGAAGGGGCGTGCGGTCAGCGGGCGTGGGCGGCGCGTCACTCCCGGCTCTGGGCTCTGGTTGGCGGCTGAGAATGAGGAAACTCTGGGCTGACTGTTGACAGTGTCGGGGGGGAAATGGACATGTCCAAATGAGGCCTAAAGCGTGAAAACATGTCCAGTGTGTGAACGTCCCCGGCGCCGCCACGACCTGCGCTCCCCCCCCGGACCCGGTAACGAGCCACGCCGCCCCCCGAGCCGCGCTGCCCGGGGAACAGGCGCTGATAAGAGCCGCTGGGAGCGCGTTAGCCTGGGCTTAGCTTAGCTTCAGCTGTCAGTCTGCGGCAGCTTTGACCAGACACAGGGACAGAGAGCGGGTTTAGAGCGGGTTTAAAACGGGTTTAAAACGGGTTTAAAGCGGGTTTAAAGCGGGTTAAAGCGGGTTTAAAGTTTGTTCCACTGACACGTGAGAAATGTGCATTTTTGCGCTAGCGGCTAAAACTAAATAATGCTGCTAAAGCGACTAAAGCTGAGAGGATCAGGGGCAGAACCGGCAACAGTCTGCAGGACTGAGGTCTGGACTGAGAACTGGACTAGACCCTGGTCCGGGCTCTGGACTAGACTCTGTGCTAGGCTCTCGACCAAACTCTGGACTGGGCTCTGGACTAGACTCTGGACTAGACTCTGGACTAGACTCTGGACTAGACTCTGGACTAGACTCTGAACTAGACGCTGAACTAGACGCTGAACTAGACGCTGAACTAGACTCTGGACTAGACTCTGGAGTAGGTTCTGGACTAGACTCTGGACTAGACTCTGGACTAGACTCTGGACTAGACTCTGGAGTAGGTTCTGGACTAGACTCTGGACTAGACCCTGAACTAGACTCTGAACTAGACTCTGAACTAGACTCTGAACTAGACGCTGAACTAGACGCTGAACTAGACGCTGAACTAGACTCTGGACTAGGTTCTGGACTAGACTCTGGACTAGACTCTGGACTAGACTCTGGACTAGACTCTGACTAGACTCTGGACTAGACCCTGGACTAGACTCTGGACTAGACTCTGAACTAGACTCTGGACTAGACTGAACTAGACTGAACTAGACTGAACTAGACGCTGACTAGACTGGACTAGGTTCTGGACTAGACTCTGGACTAGACTCTGGACTAGACTCTGGACTAGACTCTGACTAGACTCTGGACTAGACTCTGGACTAGACTCTGGACTAGACTAGACTCTGGACTAGACTCTGAACTAGACTCTGGACTAGACTCTGGACTAGACTCTGGACTAGACTCTGGACTAGACTCTGGACTAGACTCTGGACTAGACTCTGGACTAGACTCTGGACTAGACTCTGGACTAGACTCTTAAACTACCCCCCAAACATCCATTTACCCATTTTATCATAATGCGACTAAAGCTGACAGGACCAGGGGCAGGAACTGGACTAGACCCTGGTCCGGGCTCTGGACTAGACTCTGTGCTAGGCTCTCGACCAAACTCTGGACTGGGCTCTGGACTAGGTTCTGGACTAGGCTGCAGGACTGAGATCTGTACGGGACTCTGCACAAGGCTTTGGACTAAACTCTGCACTGGGCTCTGGAGCAGGATTTGGACTAGACTGAACTTGGCTCTGGACTAGACTCTGGTTTAGATTCTCAACTAGACTCTGCACTAGGTTCTGGACTAAACTCTGGACTAGGCTCTGAACTAGACTCTAGATTAGGTTCTAGCCTAGACTCTGCAGTAGGTTCTGGACTGGGATCTGGACTGGACTCTGGACTAGACCCTGGACTAGGCTCTGGACTAGACTCTGAACGAGACCCTGAACGAGACCCTGAACGAGACCCTGAACTAGACTCTGGACTAGACTCTGGACTAGACCCTGAACTAGGTTCTGGACTAGGCTCTGGACTGGACCCTGGACTAGACCCTGGACTAGACTCTGGACTAGACTCTGAACTAGACCCTGGACTAGACCCTGAACTAGACCCTGAACTAGACTCTGGACTAGACTCTGAACTAGACCTGGACTAGACTCTGAACTAGACTCTGAACTAGACTCTGGACTAGGTTCTGGACTAGGCTCTGGACTGGACTCTGGACTGGACTCTGAACTAGACTCTGAACTAGACTCTGCACTAGGTTCTGGACTAGGCTCTAGACTAGGTCTCTGGACTAGACTGGACTATGCTTTGGACTAGGCTCTGGACTTTATTCTGGACTAAGCTCTGGACTAGGGTTATGGGGATCTGGACAGTGCTCTGGATCTTGTCTAGGTTTTGGATTAGGCCCTGGACTAGACTCTGGACTAGACTCTGGACTAGACTCTGGATTAGACTCTGGACTAGACTCTGGACTGGACTCTGGACTCTTGTGGAGGCTCCTTAACTCCTGTGACCCTCCTGTAGGTCCTGACCCAGACTGTTCAGATACAGGGGACACATACCTCACCTGTCCTCACCTGTTCCTCACCTGTCGTCACCTGTTCCTCACCTGTCGTCACCTGTCTCACCTGTCCTCACCTGTCTCACCTGTCCTCACCTGTCTTCACCTGTTCCTCACCTGTCATCACCTGTCTCACCTGTCGTCACCTGTCTCACCTGTCCTCACCTGTTCCTTTCCTGTTCCTCATCTGTCTCACCTGTCCTCACCTGTCCTCACCTGTCCTCACCTGTTCCTCACCTGTCCTCACCTGTCCTCACCTGTCCTCACCTGTTCCTCACCTGTCCTCACCTGTTCCTCACCTGTCCTCACCTGTTCCTCACCTGTCCTCACCTGTTCCTCACCTGTCCTCACCTGTTCCTCACCTGTCCTCACCTGTCCTCACCTGTCCTCACCTGTCCGTGTGTGCTCTTGGTGCAGGTGACCCAGGCTGACGACAGGAGCAGACATGGAGAGCTCGGAGGGGATGCAGTCGTCCTCTGTCCTCTGTTGTCCGTGCGATGGAGCGGACGTGTCCATGGGAGACGTTTCCACCAGGAGCTCGACGCGTCGAACCCGCAAGTGCCGCAGTCTGAGCGCGTCGTCCGTCAGCTGCCCCGAGTACAGGTACTCACACACCGTCCTGCGGGTTCTCTCTCTCAGATGATCTAACTCACGCACACCAGGACTCGATACTCGATACTCGATACACGACTCACGATACGATATTATCACAAAATGGTGATACGTGTGAGAATCAACTATTGTATTTTATCAATTTATAACAGTATGGACTGGGCTCTGGACTAGACTCTGAGCTAGACTCTGCTCTAGACTCTGGACGGAGTTCTGGACTAGACTCTGGAGTAGGTTCTGGACTGGGCTCTGGACTAGACTCTAAACTAGACTGTGGACTAGGTTCTTGACTAGGTTTTGGACTAGGCTCTGGACTAGACTCTGAACTAGACTGTGGACTAGGTTCTTAACTAGACTCTGAATTAGACTCTGAACTAGACTGTGGACTAGGTTCTCGATTAGGCTCTGGACTAAACTCTGAACTAGACTCTGGATTAGACTCTGAACTAGACTCTGGACTAGGTTCTGTAACAGACTCTGGACTGGGCTCTGAACTAGACTGTGGACTAGGCTCTGGACTAGATTCTGGACTAGACTGTGGACTAGGCTCTGGACTAGATTCTGGACTAGACTGTGGACTAGGTTCTGCATTAGACTCTGGACTGAGTTCTGGACTAGACTCTGGAGTAGGTTCTGGACTGGGCTCTGGACTAGACTCTGACCTAGACTGTGGACTAGGTTCTGAACTAGACTCTGGACTAGGTCTAGGACTAGGTTCAGGACTAGGTTCAGGACTAGGTTCATATTTATAAAACCCCGTCCCACCATCTCCAGCCTTCAAACTTAATTAAACAACCCCCCAAACATCCATTTACCCATTTTATCATTTTTTTTTTCCCGTTTGTACCAGTGGAAACATCCTGGACTAGACGGAAATTTGCCGTGACAACTTTTTGACAAGGCTCTAAAGTTAAAGTTTTTATATATTTGATTTTCGAGTCCTTGCATAGTTTTAAATATACTGATATTTTAACATAGTGCAACATGCAAACTCTTATTATTATTTATTATTATTTATTATACTGTTATTATTTTGTAGTTACCCAGGACAGAGTAGAAGCAGGAACAAGTCTCTGTTTATTATGAAACATTTGTAAACACAGATTTCTACAGAACATCACACACACACACGAGTACACACACTTACAACAGTATAACATGATTTCACTGCCCGTGTTTATGACGCAGTGTAACTTCTGACTTCTGTTTACTCTTACTGGACTTGGAGTTGATATGGGCAGAGAACTGGCACTTCCTACAGTAACCGATGTTATCTGACTTCCATTTTATCGTTTAAAGCGCCCGTACCAGGTTCAAATACTCAGTTTACTTACGTGTATTTCAGATTTTTGCAAAAACACACACACTTTTTTGTAACAATTTGGCCATTTTTTTTATTTTTTTTTGGTTTAAATCTTATTCCCTAGAAAAACTCCTCTAATGTTCACAGAAAATATGATCTGACAAATACAAATATAAGAATCTGTTCACCTTTATTTTGTTGAAAGTGTGTTTAAGTTAGAGGTGTGCAAAAATATTGAAATATCGATATATCGTTCTGTTTAATGTGATGATACAGTATCAATATCGTGGACTGCTTCATTGATATATCGCCAAGAGTATTTTTTTGTGTATTTTACTTAATTATTTTGTTTCAGAGCTACAGTTTTGTTGCTTGTTCAGAGGAAAGAAACTTGTTTATGCGACACATTTGACATTTTCAGTGTTTTGATGATTAAAATGTTTGTGTTTCTTATGAACTTTGCACAAGAAGAAGTGGTTTAACAAAGACTTTTAGTATCACAGATGTTATTTAACCTTTATTTTTTTATTGAACCGTATTGAATCGATTTTAAATATATCATATCGAACTGAAAGTGCACGGTATCGAGACGCGTATTGTATCTTTGCCTGTATGTATCGTATCGGCAACTTGTTAATGATGCCCAACCCTAGTTTAAATGATCAGAAAAATGTGTTTCTTGTGTGTAAACTGAGCCGAACGTATGAAAACAATTCTCCCCAGTGTTATTTTCAGCATATTTTTCTAGGAGTGGGCGATATCTTGATATTTTAAAATATATCGAGATAGTTTTTAAACACGAAATGGATTCTCTGACATATTGTTTATATCGATACAATGCTTATATTTAATTCTGATTACGCTGCTTCACTTGTTCGCTTTCTCTGTGCTCTCCCCACTCGCCCGGCACAAGGAGCGAGCTGTTTTTTTAATCGCTTATAGTTTATGCAAATGAAAATTTAGTCAGTTTGTCGTGTTGCCGTCGCCAAAATCTCACCATCGACTCACTGACGTCGAGCTCACGTGCAGCAGCTCTGTTTCCTTCTTCCACAGACACATCAATCGCCTTTAACTTAAAAACTTCATCATCTGCATTTCTTCGTGTGTTCCAAGTGTCAGAAAAAAATTGCGGTTTATAGTCCGGAATTTACGGTATTTTTTGCTCCGTATCGCCCAGCCTTATATTTTGCCACTTTTTCTCGCAAATCGCTTCTTGATTTTTGCAAAACTGTAACTGATATTTACACTAGTTTTAATCTTACCAAATTAAGTCAAAATTTGAGAATCATAAAAGTCTGTTGTAAGCGCTTTATTGTGTTTTCATTTCTTGCTTTTTCCAGTAAAACTCTTGCAGCATTTCACTGCGCGGCTCAGACCCTTCAGTCCCTTCACAAAGAATCGGATTCAAAACCTGATTAAGTGTCGTAAATGAGAGAGGCCTGGGTCTGATGTGAGCTGTGTGTGTGTGTGTGTGTGTGTGCGTGTGTGTGTGTGTGTAAAACCAGAACACACATCCGCCCATGCACTTGTTATTCTAATACGGAACTGGACTATAAATTATCCGCTGTAACTGCTACCCTGGTTTAGCTGCATTTGGCTGGAGCTGGAGGGTCCTTCAAACGCTTTTTTCCCCATGGAGATGTCACTGCTTTGTCTGGAATGTTCCGCAGTACGGCATTAAACCTTTCTTTCTGTCTTCACGGAGACTAAACCCTGACCCGCTCACAGTCACAATGTTTGTTTTTCAAGGTATTTTTGAGCTTTTAAAGCCACCTGGAATTGAACAAAAGTAGAGTAGAGTTGTTTAATGTCACACTGTGGAACATTCCAGGCAGAGCAGTGACGTCTCCATAGAAACGAGCAGCTGTGGGCGACGTTCACACTCCTTCAGTCTCTTCAGATTATTCTAAAACAGATTTTTTTCCCTCGTTTTGATACTTAAAATGAGAAAGCGACGCGCCAATACCAATTCTAAAACAAGAGCTTTAAAGGTGCACTGTGGAACTTTTTGCCTGGGGGTTTCTATGGATATGCCAACATGTTTCAACCAACCTGGTCTTCACCTCTCTTAACTAAGCCCTGATGAAGACCAGGTTGTTGAAACATGTCGGCTTTGGCCATTTAAATAAAGGCCTTTTAACGATTTTTTTCCTCGTGTGATTTTTCCTTCGTTGGAGTTCCTGGAGTCCGTTGTGTTTTAGTTATGTCATGATACGGGTCCGGTCAAGCAGAAGTAAACATCAAGGCCAAAAATTCAAGTTGATGCATCTGATATAAAAATGTATTGAACAGATACATATGTACTCTAGTTTATGAAACTGTTGACCTTTTTTCTGGACCATTTTTGGTTCTAAAGTTCCATGTTTTAAACAGACCATGTATGAAACATGGAACAAAAATTATTTCCCAGATTTCAAAGACCTGCAAATCATGTCAATAAATGGATGTAATTCATCATATCTTGTGTTATTCCATCTTTGAACTGTTGATGAAGGGACATGATTAAAAAAAAAAAAAAATTTAAAATGATACAAATTTTCTTGGAAGGACTGACATATTTTATAGAAATAGTTTCTTTCATTTTGAAGTAATATTAAAGTATTCAGAAGAAAAAAGCGACAAATGATGTAAAATCCTGCACCTTCTACTTGTTTGTACAATTTTCCCTCCGTTACCATGACCTTCTTAATAAAAAATCTCATGAGTCAAAAAGTAAGAGGTTTTTCAACCTAATCTTGTACCATATGGTAGAAAACTATATGAAGCAAATATTCAAACCAGTTTGTTAAGGATATGTAAGTGAGAACCAAGAGTTATCACTGTTTGTATTTATTGCCCAAAAAGTGCTGCATATTTCATTCCCTCCGTTACCGACATGAGTTTTTAAATTTTTTGTCTTGAACTTGAAAGAATCTCACAGGTTTAACTTGACCCTGTTGGAGTGTAACTCTTTCCTACATTCTGATACTTTACTTATTTCAATAGTTCCTCTAGTTTCTGAATAAGAGACATTTGAATGTATAAAATCTGCCCCTGTTTCCCTCCGTTACCACTTGACCAAACCCTATTGTATCATGAGACTCAAGGCAATCCACACCCCTAGTATCGATATATCACCAAGAGTATTTTTTGGTTTATTTTACTGAATTATTTTGTTACAGTTACAGTTTTGTTGTTTGTTCAGTGGAAGAAAACTCGTTTGAGCAACACATTTGACATTTTCACTGTTTTGATTATTAAAATGGGCGTGTTTCATAATCACTTTGCACAAGACGCCGTTTAACCTTTAGACTTTTAGTATCACAGCCACGATTTAGTGTTTATTTTTATTGAATCGTATCGAATCAGTTTGAAATATATCAAATTGAAAGTGCACAGTATCAAGGATTTATATCGTATCGGCAACTTCTTAATGACACCCAGCCCTAGAAATGGGCATTAAACCTTTCTATCTTCATGGAGACCAAACCAGACCAAGTTACAGGTCAGATCTGTGGAGAGGCGACGCCGCTCACAGTCAGAATGTTTGTTTTTCTAGGTATTTTTGAGCTCGAAAACCACCTGTAACTGAGTAAATGTGGAATATTCCAAGCAGAGCAAAGACTTGTCCATAGAAACAAGAAAAAAAAGTTACACAGTTTGTCTTTTAAGTTGATTTATTATGGATTTTTTTGATACTTTTGACACC